TTTGAAACGTCAGCGCCGTTTCATACATATCGTGCAACACCTGAACATGATGTGGGACCTCCACCCTGTGGTGTGACTGCGTCTTCCCAATGCTTTTCAAGACCACTGCGGCCGCAGCGAAATTCCTCTCGGCCGTCTTGTTCGCTGTCATTTTGAGGCGGCCGTGCTCATCAGGCTGATTGACACGGCCCATCATGTCATTGCTCAGAGGCCTGGCATGCCAGCGGCCCCCAGGGGAGAGAGAGGACAAGGAGGGGGAGCAGGAACAGGAGGAGGGACCGAGGAGGGAGGAAGAGGAGGGAGGCCGAGCAGGATAAGAGAGGGGAGAGAGAAGGATGAGGGAGAAGGAACAGGAGGAGGAGGGCGGTGGCGGCGGCCTGGCCCAAGTCACGCACAGCAGACCTCCAGTACCAGGAACATGTACGAGCGATATATTCTTAGAGAAGCCATCTGTGCTCGCGCGATCTTCAGCCCAGATGCGAACGATCTGTAGCCCTTCAATCGCACTCTCCTTCCACTTGGCAAACACACCTCCTTCCTCTAACGGCCACCCCTCCAACGCGGCCTCGTGGGCGGCCCCGGCCCCGCCCCCCTCGACGCCGACGCCCAGCGCCGGCGCCAGGCCGCGCGCCACGCCCAGCGCGGCGTCGGTGGACGCCTCGGCGATGGTGAGCGCCGCGTCCTTGGCGGGCGCCCGATCGGCCCCCCCCTATCCCCCTATCCTCGCCGTCGCAGCCCCGGGGATGGACATTGGGCACAATGCGAGATATATATATATATATATATATATATATATAGATAGGAGAGAGAGAGAGAGAGAGGGAGAGAGAGAGACAGAGAGGAGAGAGAGAGAGAGAGAGAGAGAGAGAGGAGAGAGAGAGAGAGAGAGAGAGAGAGAGAGAGAGAGAGAGAGAGAGAGAGAGAGAGAGAGAGAGAGAGAGAGAGAGAGAGAGACAGAGACAGACAGACAGACAGACAGACAGACAGACAGACAGACAGACAGACAGACAGACAGACAGACAGACAGACAGAGACAGAGACAGGAGACAGAGAGGGGAGTGGGAGAGGGAGAAAGGGAGAAGGAACGGGAAAGAGAAAAGGAGATGGAGAGGGGGCAGGAGCGCGCGAGGTCGAGATAGAGAGAGTGACAGAGAGAGATACATAACAAAAACACAAATGGTGGATGAGTATGTGAATGAGCATGCGAGTGACGACTCCTCGGGGTGCAGTGCATGGGCTTTCTGCAGCGCGGCGTCGGTCAGGTGGCCCTCGGCGTCGGCTTTCTGGAGCAGCTTGTCCTGGGGACAGGCGCCGCGGGGGGCATGCGGCATCGGGCAGTGGGCAGCGATATCCTCAGCGACCCTGGAAGATGGAAAGATGGAGAAACAGATGAGAGAAAGGAAAGGGAAAGGGAGGAGGCAAAGGTGGCGGAGCTGGGTAAGGGTGGATACGTAGCACCCCGCAGTTGCAGATGGCGACCCGCCCGCGACCCCCCGCGCCGCGACCCGCGACCCAGACCGCGACCCTCGAGCCGCGCCCCCGGGGGCACTGAATGACCGTTCGGCACCCTTATTCTGACTATGGGGTCTCCTCACGCGCATCAATGTCGGCGTCCCCCAGCTCTACCTGCTCGGCTTCAACGAGACCTTCCACTCCCCCGTCGACGCTGGGCCCCAGCTCGAAAGCCTCTAACAGGTCAGCGTAGATATCATCCATCGCCCCGCGTGAATTCAAAATCTCATCGAGCTCGGACGGGTGGCCCTCCAAGGCGGCGGGGGCAGCCGCGACGCCCTTTTTGTCTTTGATCTCAAGCAGGCGGCTGGGCAAGAGCGTTGCGAGCTCGGTCCCGGCAGGGAGGGGCTCGATTGATTCATCGTTTTTATTCCAAGAGGACCAGTCTATATCATGCGAACAAAAAGCCATGTTGCCATCGTAAGCCGGGGACTGAACGTGATCGTAATAATGTTTGAACAGGCCAACCGAAGCAACAGTCTGAAGGGGATGCAAGATTCGAGGGCGGCCGTCATCCGCCACTTGCAAAACAACAAAGAACATGATCGATCTGACCGAATCGGCCTTGAAGAACAGAAAATCATTCGGCTTGAGGCCCCCAGAGCCCATGGAATATATCTTCTTGAAATCAGGTGTCCCAGCATCTCGAATGTGTTTCTGAACAATCTCGGTGTGCGCAGCTGCCCAATCCAATGCTATGTCAGAGCGCATGTCTGGGTAAGTAACATGATCGCACTGATTCATGGTTATAGATATTTGCAAATTATCAAGAAGGTCAGTCAACAACATGGCATGTGCGAGTCGGCCCGGTGCGAAAATGACGGATCGTAACTTGATTTTCTGTTTGCTGTGTGGCACCAATTGTCCGTGTAACTCTTCGCCTGCCCTCAACTTCCCCCGAGCACTCTTCCCCTGGCTCTCTTTAGTACCCGCGTTAAGATCACACTTCAGGTTCACGCGAGCATTGAGCAAATCCGCTGATATAATTGGAGCCTGTCGGGCCTGCGTCTTGATAAGCGAATTACATCCTTCGACGTCCTCCGTGCCCACGTGCAAGTGCTGGGACATCGACGTGAGCGCGGCCGTGAGCTTCGGCCTCCCCCCCGACCAGGGCCCCCTCATGCATTGGCCTCTCGCTCCATCCCCGCCCGTGCCCCAGGCGATCGCGCGCGACATCATCCAGGCCAATGCCCCGACTCACAAGAGCAGCTGGAGGCCATCGATTGCCCCCTGCCCTCGCGGGGGCACCGAGGAGGGGGGCAGACGAAGCGCGCGGGCAGGCCCGAGCAGCAGCAGCAGCAACGCGCGGGCGCGACGCTCGCAATGCCGCACCCGCCCCTGCCCGCCCGAGAACGCCCGAGAACGCAGCCAGCTCTAAGTCGGGCTCGCAGTTGACCCTCACCTTGAGTACGTTCACTTCCAAACGAGATGGGTCCGAGTCCAAGATCTCTCGAGCCAGGAGCCGCCGCGCTGCACACGGCTTGAACGGGTGGGTCCTCGAGGGAAGCAGAAGCCTGCACGGCCACCTGGGAGCGGGTCGGGGCACCAAACTTCTCTCCCTCGTGCCAGGGCGGAGGAGGAGGAGGAACATGGGGGTGGGCCGTGGAGGTGAAGAAGGAGGAGGAGGCGGAGGAGGATCACACACACATGGTAGATAGATACATAACATAATGACATATATATATATATACATGTATGTAATGTATAGAGGCTGCCGAAACCCCTTGCTGACCTCATCAGCGGGGCGCGGATGCGGCGATGTAAAGACACGAAATGGAAAAGCACCAAGCCCACATGTATCCGCTCAACTTGCATGGCCTCGACGGCTGAAAGTTGACCTGCTGCATCTCCGCCCGCTGGCGGTGCGCGCAGTAGGTTGGCAAAGTCACTGCATAAGTCGTCCAGCTTGCCATTCACGAGACGATGCAAGGGCGAGGTCTCGATGTCGTCCCCAAATGATGATTCAGCCTCGAGCGTTTTTTGGTTTATATCTATATATATATATATATATATATATATATGTAAAAAAGGGTTACCGCTGCCGCGGCTGGGCACGGCTCGGAAAACCTGCCCGGATGGCCGCCCCTCTGCCCCCCGCGGGCCCCGGCCTTGGCCTTGCTGAGCCAATGGAAAAAATGATCCATCGGCCAATGGAAAAAGAACACCTCCCCACTCGCGTTCACGACGTCCGTGCGCCACCGAGTCATTTTGGCACTGTATGCTTGGGCATCGTGGAGTTGCAACTCTATCTCCCCCTCCAGAGCAGATCCGTCGCCTAGCGCCAGCGCGCCGCCGGCCGCGGCGCCGGCGACCGCGTCGCCAGCGTCGTCGGCCTCGGCGACGGGCACCTCTCCGCCTGCGCGGGGGGGAGTGGCAGGGCGGCCAGGGGTCGGCCGCGGAGGAATTCGGGCCAGCAGATGGGACGGAGGCAGATGCAGGGGGAGGTTGGAGAGATCTGGCCCTCATATTTCCTTTCCCCCCGATCCTACCCCTTCCTGGTGCATTGCCTGGCGCCGCGCATGCTTGCTCGCCCCCCTACCCTCCCTCGCCCCCCCTTCCCTCCTCATATTTCCACCTTGCCCCCCCCGCTCTCCATCTTTCTCCGCTGAGCTGCCCAGCGCCCCACCAGGCGCCTCGCCCAGCACCGCGTCGCCCGCGGGCGCGCCCAGCACGCCCCCCCCCTCCTTCCCCTGCCGCCGCGGGCCCCAGTCAAGGCCAGCGCCTTCGCCTTTGCCTCTGCCTTCGCTTTCGCTGCAGCTGCCTCTGCTCCGTGCAGCGCCTTGGCAACGACCCCATACCGCCGACACCTTTCGGCGGGGCTCCGCCCAGCGCGCCGGGAGAAGCGCTCGACGGACGTAATGGAACCCCAGCGACCAGAGATAGCGCGGGGGCAGATCTCGAGGAACTGATTCGCATCCTGAATGTTCCTGTGTTTCTGCAGCCAGAAGCGATGAAGCGCTCGAGGGCGGTCGCGGGCAAGGTTCGCCATCTTGGCCTCGTGCTTTGTTTACGCCCTAACCCCCTTCAAATTCCCAGCCTCAGAGCTCTCTGGAATGTCCAGAAATCCTGAGACCGTCCTCGTGCCTGGCCGCCTCCTGCTCCTCCTCCTCCTCCTCCTCCTCCTCCTGCTCCCTCCCCCATCCCTCGCCTCCCTCCGATCCCTCCCCCGTCCCCCCCCCATCCTCCTCCTTCTCCCGCGCCCCCCATCCCGCCGCTCGCCCTCCAGGGGCGAGGGGGAGAAATGGGGGGCGAGGGGCCAGAGCGGCAGAGTGGCCGCCCAGGCGCGGGCCCCAGAAGAGTCGATGGACCGTTGACGGCCTTCGGTGGGACGGGGGGGGGCGACGAAGACAACGAACCCGCGGTCCAGTGTTGAGAAGTATCTCCAACCCTTCCCCATCTCAGCCAGCACTGCGTCAAGTCGCGCAATGCCTTCGCGAACTCCAAGATGAGCTTGGTGCTTAAAGCATGGGGGCCTGATGTGATAGCACCTGCCCTGAGGATACATCAGGGTGGACAGAATCTTGGAGGCGCACACCTCGTCCGACCCGCTGTCGGCGCACTGGAAAAAGCCGAACGTCTGTCAGGGCCCCGCAATGATACCCACCGGCCCCGCTGGAGACCCCCCGAGCGAAGATGCGAGGGTGGGAAGGATGGAGGTTGGGAAGAGGGAGGTTGAGGTTGAGGAGTAGGGGTGTGGAGATGAGGGCGGGGTGGAATGGCCGCCCTGCTGCCTGCTGCTCTGCGGCACATCCGCCAACTCTGGCCCCTCCCGCCCCCCCCCCCCCAAAAAAAAAAAAAAACATTCCCGCGCCTCGCGAAACAAACTTCCCCTCCCCCTTGGTCCAGGCACCTGGTCCAGAGCGCGGACGTCGACGCCCGCGAGCTCGGCAGCCTTGAGGCGGCCGAGTATCTCCTCCCATCCAGGGCAGTTGAGCGAGGAGAGCTGCTTTGCCGTCATTGCCAGACTGTGGGCGCCAGCGCTGCCGATCGATGCAGTGATGTCGGCCATCTTCGACTGTCGCATCGTGCATCGGCCCCGCCACCCCGCCGTCAGCCCACCGCGGATTTCTGCTGCCAGCTTGTCGATATCATAGTACGACGACAACACTCGACAGCTACGGATTTTCTGGTTTTGCCAGACCCCCCCCCCATTGGTCGCATCAGTTTTCATCGTGGTCATGAAGACGTTGAATGTCTCCGCTATCTCACCGCAGGGCAGGGGCGTCAACCGCATGCCGCGAGCGTCAAGCGGCCAACGGTCAAACGGCCAACGCTCCTCAATCTCCTCGCCTCTCTCCTCCTCCATCTCCTCCTCCTTCTCCCCGGATGCCCGCGGAGCCTCCTTCGGGGGCGGCAGGGGCGGCAGATCGGGGGGCCCCCTATATCCCCATCACCTTCGCCAGCAGGCGCGGGCGGCAAGGGCAGCGGGGGAACGGCCGCGCCTGGCCCTTCCGCCACCTCGCCTTCGCTAGCAAGCAGCAATTGCAATGGAGGGGGGGGCCATTCACAAGATTTGGCGGCCTTGGCGGACGCCGCAGCGCCGTCGTCGCCAAGCAAAGTGATCACGGGCATGAGGTCGGAGAGGTCGCAGGACCCATCGATGAGGACCCCAGGTTTGTCGAACATGTCGGCCTGGGCGGGGCGCCGGAGGAAGGGGGCAGGGAGTGGCCGAGAGAGATGATGGGGGAGGCAGCGAGCGAAAGGAAAAGAGAGCGAGAGAGAGAGAGAGAGAGAAAGAGAGAGAGAGAGAGAGAGGGAGAGAGAGAGAGAGAGATGAGAGAGAGAGAGAGAGAGAGAGAGAGGGAGAAAAAGAAAGAGAAGAAGAGAGAAGAGAGAGAGAGAGAGAGAGAGAGAGAGAGAGAGAGAGAGAGGAGAGAGAGGAGAAGAAAGAGAGAGAAGAGAGAGAGAGAGAGAGAGAGAGAGAGAGAGAGCGAGAGAGAGAGAGAGAGAGAGAGAGAAAGGGAGAGAGGGAGAGAAAGAGAGAGAGAGAGAAGAGAGAGAGAGAGAGAGAGAGAGAGAGAGAGAAAAAAAAAAAAAAAAAAAAAAAAAAAACAGAGAGGGAGAGAGAGAGAGAGAGAGAGATCGGACAAGTAGGCGGACCAGGGTCCGTCCGCGAGGCGCACTGCGGTGCGACAACTCGCCAGGCACTATTAGCGGCGGTGCAGCCTTAAGATACGAGGGCGGGCAACAAAACCCCCTCCCCCGGCGCAATGCGACAGACGCTACAGACGGCGGACAGACGGTGAAGATCTCACATGTCAGACCGCGTGAGGAAAGAGGCCCCAACAAGGAAGGCGACGTGCTGACGCGTGGCTAGGCGGCTCGGCAGACCGCCAGTTGGGCGCTCGACCGCAAGGCGGCGCGCAGGGACGGGGCACCCCCCGCCCCCACGCCCTGACACCGTGGACGCGGAGCCACGCGTACACACGGGCAGGCAGAAAGGATGGAATTAGCGCGGGGCACCAGGTGGAGCGCCGCGAAGGGATGACAGCATAGCTTGGATGGTGAGCGGCGGCACCGCGCCATCGGGCGAGGGCGTAAGCAGCTCGGCGAAGGCGCGCCCTGCGCGGTGGAGGCGCTGGAGCAGAGGGCCTTGACGGGCTTGAGCAGCGGCAAGGTCGGCAGCGAGAGCAGCGCACCTCTGCCGAAGAGCGGCCATAGCCTGAGAGAGCTCGGCTTCGCGGTCGGTGAGGGGCGGCTGTTCAGCGGCAGCGGCCGCGGACCTCGTGGCAGGGACGAGGCCGTCAGTGCGCCTGGCCAGGTGGTGGCCTAGCGCAGTACAGCCCTCCGTGTGCTGATGGCCGTCACCTATGAGGGACGACTGAAGGGTAACACGCGGCCCCAGGGCTGGAGCCGCTAGGGCCGAGCCCCGTGAGGACGGAAGAGCCACGTCCTCGCGCCCAACAACAGAGGCAGCGTGGACAGGGTGCGACGGCCTGACTGGCTCAGTGCCCTGCGGGGGGGCTGGAGCCGCCCCCGCGGGCTGGCGCAGGTGAGGGGACGGAGTGGGTGACACGGTAGGACCTATCATGATGCCGTGTGAGGGTTCGGAGGTCGGCCGCGTAGTCGGGTGGCGTCTCGGAAGGGCGGCATCGTCGGTGGCGTGTGGGGTCGGCGGAGCGTCGTCTATGCTGCCACTCAGTCCGAGGGGTGCACCCAGGTCATCTTCGGCGTCTTGACGGTGAGCGACATCATCATGTGGGTGCGATGTCGCTCTCGGTGGCGGAGTCGCGGTAGGCGTCGAGAGGTTGCCCGACGGGGCAGGGTTGGCGCTGGCTGGGCCGTCGTCCAAGAAGTCCAATCCCCCACCGAAGCCGAACGGGTCGTCCTCCTGTACATCGAGCATAGCCCGTTGAGCTTCAACCCAGAGCACATCCGGGTCTTGCGGGATGAAAGGTCCAGCCGCGGGTGGTGCCTGGTCCGAGAGCAGGGGGTTTGGTTCCATTTTGCTGAGTTCCGCAGCTGTAAACCCAGCCCTGCGGTGTGGGAGCGGCAGAGTGCGGTGTCTGGGCTCGTAGATAGCGACAGCGACCCCCTGGAGCACGGTCGATTGGCGATGTCGTGTTTTGGCAGCTTCGACGATGTCGTCAGGAAGGTTGTGAGTGCGTGCCGCCATTGTGGCGAGGGTGTCGGCCTGACGGTTGAACTCCTCCGCAATGGGCCCGATGAGCCCAAGGTCGATGCCCGTATCACCCAGGTGGCTGGCGTTTTTTTCGACGCGAAACATGTTGGGCTTGGCCATAACACATCGGTGGATCTTTTCCCAGAGCTCCGCGTGCGTGCCCTGCGGCGCTGAATGTCCGTCGATGATGCTTTGGAACCCATCGACCACCGCCTGGTTGTCCACGAAAACGTGCACGGGCCGTTCGGCACATGCCGTAAGGTGGACAATGGCGAGGGTCTCCGCAACCTGGGCGTTCTGCGTTAGGCCGTGAACACGTGCACTGTAGTTCATGCGGTGGTCGATGCCGTAGTAGACGCCGTAGCCCGCTCGTGCAAGCAATGGGATGGCTTGGTTGGTACATGCACCGTCCGTGGCAGCATAGACCCATGTCCAGCCAGTGTCGCGGTCAAGGTAGGTGGTGTAGGTGTCCTGGGCTGAAGCCGCAGGATCTCCCTCAGGAGGGGGCCGCGGCATGGGCTGTGGCAGCGGGTCCCTCGCGAGGTCGGCCTGCAGGTCGAGGAGGGTTGGGTCTTCGTCGAAGAGCCCGCAGTGTCTAGTGTGCGGCGGAAAACGGGCCCACTGGTCGTCGCTGATGAGGGTGGTGAGAGGGAGTCTTTCACGGGCCCAGCACTTGCAGTCGCGGACAGTGTGCTCCTGAGTTTCCTCTTCCTCGTCGCAGTATCGACAGATGGGGCTGGGGTCTGCCGACGTGTTTGATCGGGATCGTCGCTGCTGGGTGTGATCCCCGCCCGACAGGTAGTCCAGGAGGAGCGCCAGCTGCCACGCAGTGCATTTGGCTGCTCCTTTAGTTCGGGCGAGCCACGTGCTGGCAAAGAGGTCGAGGCCCTGTCTGACAGAGGCTAAGTAGCCAAGGTCGTGTCGCCGTGGCTTGATCCTCCGCAGAAAAGCCCTGCGTTGCGAGGCCCGAAGCATGTGCAGGAAGGCATTATGGGGAAGATTCAGCCAGCTGATCTGGCAGCCCCAGTCATCGTACATGATGCCAAATGTGGGCCAGGTCCATCGGAGCTGCTGGAGCGACTGGACTAGTCGTCCGACGGGTCCTCCACCAAGCAGGGTCTGGACGTGGTGTTGGAGGTCTCTGGCGAGCCCGCAGAGTGTAACATCACGGTTGACCTGACGCTGCAGGCACAGGAATGCTTCACGCTGCGTGATGGCGTCGATCTCCAGGGCGTGTCCTGGGACGCACACGGCCATGAGAGTCCAGAACTCGACCCACTTGTTCCCCTTGGGGCGTATAGCCGCCTTGAGGGCGTGGTTGTAAGCAGTTCTGGCTGGGCCTGATGGTGCTTGAATGTCGGTGCCCGTGGTGCAGACACTGGCAGCCAGGGAGCGGACATGCCGCGCCTTGATGAGCATCGGCGGTGGGAGCTTGCCAATGCGCGGCAGGCGAATGGTCGCCCTCCGAACACGGGCGTCAGCGGTGGCCGTGAGGTTAAGCGCGGCTGGAGCCGGCGCTGCCTCTGCGTTGATGTAACTCCCGACGAGCTTGAAGGAATCGACCACACGTAGGGGGCGCTCCGCCAGTGTGAGCTGGGTAACGGCGGCGTGAAGCTCGTCGGTGAGCGCCCACCCTGCCACTTTACCAGGGTGAATGCGTTGACCTGAGAATCGATCAAACTTGGCGGTTTCGTCAAGAGATTTCTGCAGCTCAGACGCGGTGTGGGTAGTGGAGTTGCTGTCGTCAACAAAGGTAGTGCTAAGTGATCGGGGAACGTATCGATGCTGCCTCTTTGTCCACACGCACATGAGCAGCTTGATGTCGTCCAGGGACCACGAGCTTCCCTGGAGGTGACCGTTAGTCCTGGCCAAGTCCTTAGAGTACGCTCCGTTCATGCGGATGTAGCGTTTGTGGTGTCTGTAAAAATTTCGGCGGACAGTAACGATGTCTTGAGGGCACCCCGCGTGCAGCGCAAGGTTGAGGCAAATGTCCGTGACGAGGTAGTCGAAGCACTTCTGTCGGTCAAGGGCAGCACCAGCTAAGGGGAGGAGTAAAGCCCTGGCGTGCTCGATGCGCAGGGCGAGAGAGGTGCTGACATCCCCAATGGTGGCTTTGGGGACAGCGCCGAAGCTCGTGGCGTGGGTCCATCCTTTACGCCAGTCCGTGAGGCTACGGTAGGCTGGCGCTTCCCACGCATACATCCAAACGGAGAGAACCGAGAAGTCGTTGGTCCGCGGGGAGTTCCCCTCGGCCTTTTCGGAGGCACGGGTTTGGCACGTGAAGGAGGGGC